AATTATTTTGGCTCGCAGCCCAAACCTTTCTCTTTTTAAGATGCATTTCTAGAATCTGCCGACTGGTAACCTCCTCAAGTTACAAGGGAGGCTGCTTGTCAAAAGCTGACCTGAGCTGGATTTAATTGAAAGCCAGTTGCCGGCGATGGGAGATGGGAAAGGGCACCTTGGGGAGGCTCACACCTTGCGTCCAGGAGGACTGAGCAGTCGGGGTGGAGGGGAGCCGTGCGAGCAGAGAGCACCCTCCGCAGCTACGCCAAGGAGCGCCAGACCCTGGGTTTGGAGAGCCAGGGTTGGGGAGCCCGGGGCTGCTTGCCTCAGGTCCTGCCTGTGAGATCAGATCCAGCCTGTTTGCTTTGCAGTCAGCACACACCGAGCCTTCTGCAGGGCACGTCAGAGGGCAGCGCACAGCGCACGGCCGGCCCTGCCACGGAGAGCCCGCGTCCAGGCAGCAAGACCCCAAGGTCTCACTCACAGCACCTGGAGGCAGAAGCCCATTTCAAGGTGTTTCTCCGCAGAGGTTTTCCCACAGCACTGTCAAGCAGACATAGTGCATTTCTCCCCACTCCCCAAACTGCCCAGCTTCCTCCGCACCAGCAGTCGGGCCAGCAAAACCAGGGCAAGAGCCACACAGGGACAAGCCGGTGTCTCCCCCCACCCAGCTCTGCCACTGCAGGTCCTCCAACAGCTTCACAAACCAGGCCAGTCCCTCGAGCACTCGCAACCTGTTTATCATCCCATAAAGCTGTAACTCTTCTCTACCTCCCAACCCTCAGAGAGGAAGGCTTGTGTTAAGTTTTTGGACAGTATTTTACATCCGGGGCAGGGGGGGAAGAGCGGTTTACAGCCGTAAGCAGCTCCCAGGGTGGCAGTGCTGTCTGGGGATTGGCAAACTGGATTAGCTGGGAGCAACCAACTGCTAATCCCAGCTCCATCACTGAGGATGCCTGTCGCTTTAGGCATGCCACTTGACTTTCCATTTCAAAATTCTTCTGTTTTGCAATATTTATCTCCTGCATGAAGTTTTTTTGGGGAGGAATTTATTAGCAGAGGAAAACCAAATCAAGTATTTCACAGCAGTACTTTGCAGTGGAAAATATTGAGCAGTCTCCACATCCAAGTATTATCAATATCCTAAGCCTTTAATTCCACCAGAGACAAAACAAGTTCATTTGAGAGTTTCAGTCAACTACCCGAGAACATTATAATTCCTGCTAAATATAGCCTCTCATGAAAATATTGACCATCAAACTGCACTTTCAGCAGCTTAGAATTTACCAGGGTTTTGACACTCCTTTTCTCTGCAGCCTAAGCCCTGCCACTGTAAGACTCTGTCACCAGCTAAATAGAAGTTTAATTTTTAATGCTGCAACATGACCCTTCATTCCTCTCAAAATAAAGGGGCACACACACACAGAGTAAAACCAAACCACACTACAGCGCGCTGCGAGCTGAAAAGCCAGTGAAGACGGACGCAGAGAGCTGCTCCAGGGCCTGCACTAGTCCGGCCCACAGGACAATCTTCACAATCAGATCTAAGCTTTGCTGACCCCTTGTTATCATTGCTTATCAACACATTTCATAACTCCCGGTTGCCTAAATATGAAAAATATTCCCCTTATTTTTCTTCTATGTATTTAAGCACTCATCTCTGCTTCTCATTTGGCTTGTTAGCAACCTCGCCTGGCCACAGCCTTTGCCTCCCTCACAGGCCAAAACATTTTGCTTTGATCCTGCTGTGAATCCATTCCCACGGTGGGGCTGAGCTGGTTTTGGAAAGCACAATAAGACCTTTTTTTTTTTCTTCTCTGTTAAAAATATGGACCGGGGTGTGTAAAACTGCCTAAGCAGAACCAGTTTATGCCCCAGGAAGACTTTCCCCAGCCCAGTCATGAATGCCAAGCAATACTTCACTTTCCTGGTGAAAAAAAATGCTCATGGTGGGTAAAAAAAGCAAGGTGTGGTTGTCCATAGCCTCCTGTTAGCCCCAGGATACATCCACCAACCCAGAGCTCCACCCATAGGGGCTCCCTCAGGTTCCCCAAGCACACACAATTATGGAGGCAGGTTGAGCTGCTCAACACATAGGAGTAGCAGAAGCAAGAACTCTGCAAGGAAAGGCCAGAGTGCATCAGCACCAGCAAGGGCACAGTACCCAAACTGGGTCCAGCAACAGCAGCCAGGGTTAGCCACAGCCCCTGACTGCTAGGCAAGGCAGGCCTGAGGTTGAGTTACATCAGGATGACCTGGTCAGGATCAACAAGAGGCCAAGCATGGACGTGCACCTACTTCCTAGCTTAAACAAGGACTAATGGCAATAAACAGAGCTCACACAGGGCTCGAGGGGAGAAGGGGGTCAGAGCAAGGTGTGCAAGTGGGCTGTGGAACTGGGGAAATGGCCACGTGCAAGCGTGCTGGGAGGTAGCCCACTGGGCTACGACAGCCTCTGGCCCTTCTCCGTGGAGTCTGACGGGCACTTTCAGTTACAAACAGCATGACACAACGTGCCCAGATCTCCCTCAGTACAAAGGTGTCTGATGCAGGAAGCATGTCCTGACCACAAAGCTTCCAGTGTTGCGGCATTTCAAGTCATTCTCCCCTCCCCATCCCTGGGACTGGTGGTTTATTTGTTTGCTGCAGAACATCATAAATATTTTTACCAGCTAGAAAACTTTTAAATCCAATTGCTTTCTGCATGAAATGAAACCCAGTGTGCATAATGCCCTTTCCTCTCCCTACAGTCATTTTTTATGTGTATATCAAATCACAGCAGCGCCAGCATGAAAGCACAAAGCGTAGGCAAAGCGCTGCTCCACGCTGCTCCCGATGAACACCCGCAGGGGCGCCGAGCACTGTCCTCTGCCACTGACTGCGAAAGGGCAGCACTTCGTGTCTTACCAACACGTCTGAGAATTTGCAGAATTAAGCTCTTGCAAAGTATAATTATTATAATTATTCATAAATGTCATTGAGATCTGCCTGTGATTGCTGCTCGATTTTGCTCTGCGGTGAGGTAAGGATGGCATGTGAATGTGAACGCTGGAACACTCGCTTTTCAGACTCACTCATGCCGTATTTTCACCAAAATTTCCAACTGACAGAACAAGTAATTGTAACTTCCAAATACAGCACAAGATTCACCATTGGACTGGTGAATCTAGCACTGCCCAGTGTCTACTCATTGCACGCAGTAACAGGCCACTGGAGAGCACCAGCCTGGGGCTATGCTGTCAGCCTGATGCCTCTGCAGCAGAGGGGGAATCCCAGCCCCGTGGGGAGGAAGAGCAGCTACTTTCATCACCATGCTGCAAGGCTGGGTCACCTACAGAGGAAACACCTGAATGGAAGCGCCAGCTGATGAATGTGGTGGGTTTACCCTGTGTCAAGCTGAGCACAAGATATGATAGTGGTCATTTATATCCTATATAAATATTTTATGGGAATATGTATAATGGCAAAGTAGTTTAGAAATTTAGCCTGCAAATTTTAGATGAGCATTTGGAGAAATTTCAGCAAGGGTAAAGGCTGAGCACTCCCCACTAACCTCCACCTGCATTCTCCTCCATCAGCCATGCTGCTTGAACAGGACAGGGGCGCTCTGGCAGCCTGTGGTTCTGTTCACTGCCCTGCCTTCCGCACCACACACTCAGTCCCACAGCAAAGCTGAGCATCCTCCGCTGCTTTATTGCTACAGAGGAAACACTTCCTTGCACAATCATTCAGCACTGGAGCTCTTAAATGCTCTGTATCACAGTTAAACTTCTGCAAGCATGAAACAAATAATGATGTATAATGGTGAGGCTCTTTTAAAGAGGTTATTATCTGTGTAATTGTGGGTTGTTTTTCTTTTTTTTTTTTTTACAAAGATTAATAATCATAACAGACTCTGCAGGTCAGGCATTACCACAAGATGAGTGGCTCTGACAATAAACAGTCACCACTGCATTTAGTAAGGATGCTTAATTGAAGCTAATTTAACTAAGTGACCTTAACAAATAGCAATTTCCCTTTAATATGACAGAATGAATGATTCTTTTTCATTTAAAGCACAAACCTTCTATTTTTCCCCCCTTCATGATCTAACTTTGAAGTGTAAACTCCTAAATGTCCTTTTATCCAAAGATTCAAAGGGCTGTGCATAGCAAAAGCTAACCTGCAAGGTTCTTTTTTATTTGTTCACATAAAGGCTTTTACAGTCCGCTACTGAATACAGATTTTCTCTCAGAAATCAGAACAGCAAGGCCATCCAGAGATCACACTAGTGGAACCACAGTGGATTTTGATGAATCTGCAAATTACTGAACCTCAAGGGAAAAATGCAGCAGGCAAAACTCGTCTGCACTGGCCTCCTTGCATGAGGCACTTGTTACCTTCCCTCAGCATCTTCGTCTCTGCAGTCATATTCTTTCACACACAGCTCAGCCAAATGAGAGCCAGCAAAGCTGTTCCCTGCTGCTCCCTCCACCTCCTTTAATTGCAATATGAAACCAGGACTAAATCATACCTTCCAGCCACACAGTTTCTGACTGAACAATAGCCCTCCACATCTACATTTAATTTTAGATAAACAGCAAGCTATAATCCACAATTCTGATGAATTCTGTAGTCTGAGACATACAAGACTTAAGCTAGGTGAAAACATCCAAAGTCGTGGGAAAGGATACTGAAAGAGGAACTCACAACAACAAAGCATTAAACATCCTCCTTTGGACAAGGGGGTCAGTTTTCAGGAGACGGGCTCTCACACAGGTCAGGGCAAGCAAACAGGCCAGGACTGAAGAAGCCACCCTGATTTCCCCAAGTCATTTCACTAGCTGATGCCACAAGTAGAATGAAACAATTCAAAAAGGGCTGTTTAGCACTAAACCAAACATTTTCCTTTTCTTAAGCAGGCCCTTACAGGTGCCACAAAGCACTTCCAAGATCCATCAGTTAAGGCTGTGTGTCCCTTTTACAAAACCCCTGGCATGACAAGAGCAATTCTGACAACTTAACAAGTATATTAACAGAAACACTGTGATTCACTTTTATTTGCATGGCTGCGATCATGAAAAGAAATATAGTAAAGAGTCAGGTACACTCGAAATCAACATTTTCATTAGGATAATCATTGTGTGAGGCTGTTCTCCATTATCACCAATTCTAACCAAAGACATCTTTTATTAAAGTAAAATAGTTTCAATCATTTAAATTAGCACAGTATCAAAATGTAAACAAAAGAGGAAGGACAGCTTGAAGGGAGACATGTCAACAGCTGAAATAACCGATAGCAGAGACAGTATGCAACAAATAGAAATTGAGTCGGTGCCAGCAGCAGCTAAATGCCCAAACTCAATTGAACAAAGCACCCCCTTCACGTGCCTGCTGAGAATTATGCTCAGTTCCAGATGTGCTCTCCATTGCACTTTAAGGATTTTTTTTTTCCCCCCACTCTTTCTTTAGTGCTTCTCTGTGGTACTTAAATCACCTCTGAAGTTAAAAGTATCAAAGCATCATTCTGAATTTATCCATGAAAATTACAAGTCTCAACCTTGCTTCTGAACCAGCATGGTCATATCAGAACGGCAAGTATCTTGTTAAGCAGCTAACTTCTCAACTTCATCATCTTTAAATTCTCCCATTTTTTAAATATTTTCTGCCAGCATGTTAGAAGACCTACCAAGGAACAAGGAAAACATGGTATTAACTCCTGCTGCCATTCAGTTAGCATAAGTGGGGCTACAAGACTTCCAAGGAAAACAGCAGTGTGGATAAAGTCTTCAAAAATGCATTTCACTAGAAAAAATAATGGTCACGATTGTACGTTAAGTATTAACCTACCTACATATTTGCACAATTCAAGTCAAAGTTGATTATTGTCTATTGGCATGATGCTGAACATAGTGGTTCCCATTTATACTGACAGCAAACAATCACTGCCCTAGAAGACAATCTTTTGAAGTTCCCCTCATACACACCTACACTTCTGAGGCAACCTCTGTAAGACTAATTACTGGCACTTAGGCTGGTGTCCAGGGAACCACATTCCCCAGCTGAAGTAAGCTTGTAGAATTCAAAGAAAGTGAAGTGGAGCTTTCTCTGTCTGGTTAACTGACACAGTCCTGAATTTATGGTTTTCTACACTTATTTTTCCATAAAATGTGTATTTTCCAGCAAACTTCACCAGGAAGCTCAAGTTTAAAATGGTCACAAAAATTAAAGAACTATACCAGCAGAAGATACCACAGGAGGGTTTTCTGCTAAGATAGGGACATCAGTAAAGGTTATGGGGTTTGTTTTAGTTTGGATTTTTTTGGTAGGTTTTTTATATCCCTTATGAGTTTAGCTGTATCTGCAGAAATTTACAGATTAGACTTATAAAGAACATACTATAAATGGTTCTCTTCCTTACCTCAACTTCCTAACATAGATTGTACCTAATAAAATCAACACAACAGAGTAGTAAAAGCACATCACTTAAATATGAACAAGGTCTACAGTTGTAGAAATTTTCTGTTTCCATACATTCATATATCAAAATGAAAACCAACTGGCAAGGCAAAAATATAGATATGCTTATGTGACATGCATTAAAGACTAATTTGTAGCAGCTTCTTTGGCACTCAAATGACAAGAACATCAATTTTCATTTCCTCTTTAAAATTTGTTTGCAAAACTTGGGGATATGTCAAGATATTAAACAAGATATAAGATATTAACAACCTAAAAGAATGAGAAAAGAAAACCCAAACAAAAGACTTCTCAATAAACCCAAGCCACTTAATGTGTAATTTCCCTTATAAAATCCCCAATATAAAATAAACCCACAATACCATAAATACAGCAAAAACCTTTTTTCAAATCCCACTTAATTTAACAGTAAGCTCCCAATTCAGATTAACATGAAATTGTTCAAAGGCCCAAGGCAGTGAAATGAATGGAGTGCAGTCACAGGGCTGGTAAATGCTGATAAAAGATTAAGAGATGGAATCATAAATGGATGTCAGCATTACTACTCTTGATATTCCTATACCAAAAATTTTGATCAAACTCATGATTGTGTAAAGCTGGGTGAATTTTTCACCTCCTGACAAGCCAAAGAAATACGAGTAAGTGAAAAGCAATCATGTGTCATTATCAGCTTGAATGAGAACTGTCTCTTAAGATCAAATGTCAAAAGGAATACTTACATAGTTAATAGTAAAAAAAAATTGGCTATCCATGACAGTTTTGAGAATTTGATGATTTCTTGTAAGACTTGTCACAAAGCAATAACGCTTCACTGTAACAACCCAATAAATAGTTCTGCACAGCCTTCTAACATTACCTGATATCAAGTCAGACCAAGCAGAACAGACAAAAAAAGAAATGCATGAAATTCAAAGGTACTGAAACTCCGCAAGTCCTAGTTCATTAGTGTCCCTGACAGTTGGTCTCAAAATGCTTTTTTAAACTACATAAACTTAGCAATTTAGTTTTTAATACAATATTTGATATAATTCTTATATGGCAGATGAATAACACAAGTTCATCATTAAAAGGGATCAATTTAAAAAGCAACCTCTGAGAGCCATAACCTAGCTATAATTAAATGGCATTGTTTTAAAAGCATTTACAAGTTACTCATCACAAGACCAGAGAATCACTTTTTCCCCCTATGTACTGTAAGACAAAATTGTTCCTGTGAACTTTCAAGGTTTTCTTCTCTTGTTGATACATAGGGGAAAAACAGGTTCCAGGAGTAATTCAGAGACAAAAGTAATTCCCCATCTTAAAAAAGCTCTTTATCCTTTTTGGTACTTGGGAGAAAATACAAATGTATAGCAACAAGAGAATTCTAATCACTGACAGAATCCCATCGTCTACATCTTTTACAGTGCTCAGTATATAAAAATAGTATGCTTCAAATTACAGGGTAACAGGAGTGGGTAAGAGGCATTAGAGTGTTGCTAGTCACGTTAATCATATATGTATTGATTGAACGCTGAATGCCTTTTCAGTTTGTCTGACAAATTGGAATGGCTTCAGTAACCCCTCGCTCAAGTGTGTGTTCTATCTCATTCTCTTTTACATCGTTCATTGAATCTCCTGGGAATACACAAAGGCTTTCCCTCCTGGCAGTCCTCACAGATTTTGTTGCTTGCCAAATGTTCAGGTGCCCTCTCATTCTCCCATTAACACCTTACTGATCTCACAGCAAAAACCTGTGGTGAATTTTAAAATCCTTTTCTATATGTCTGTAACATAATCCCTCTCTGCTGTTTTACTGTGCATGAAGAGGGCTGTGCTTCATGGGAGTTGTGTGTTACATGCCCTGGGAGAGCAAAAGTGACAACAGATGTCACAGGAGATACTCTAATCCCTCAACCAGCTTAACCTTGGGTACACCTACATAGTTATGACATGCAGAAGCTACTGACACATACCAAGTCGACTTTTTTTTTTACTTTTCTTTAAAGATAAGACATCCTGACTGTGCGTAAAAGGTTGGCAAATGGTACTTTTCTAAAAATAGCTACATGGAGTGTTTAAAAACACCTTCTCAGTGTTCCATACCTGTTTTCAGTTGCATCTTGTTTGCCTGCTAGACAGAAACATAACTGCAAGTACTACAGAGTCATGTAGACAGATAAAAATCGAGATGAGTTGCATTTGCTGCCTGTATTACATCTGTAACAGTTTTGGATTAAAACTTAGTTTACTATGCTAGTATCCTTGTTTTCACATTTGGCAGAAGACGACTACAGTACAGTCTTCCCAAAATATACTGAAACAACTTACATCAAGTGTTCCAGGTATTTTTAGACTATGCAGTAAAATAAACACTGCAAGATTATTCTTACAGTTCACATTCTAAGTCTATTTGTACTTTAAAAAGTTATCTTAGACAATGCTCCCATCACAGATTATGATGGAAATTTCATTGAACTCAGAAGAACTATTTGGGAGTCTGGAAGGGTCTTACGGTCCTTCATACAGCATTACCCTGAGAAAGTTTCAGCAGCTATCCCAACACAGTTCAATTCTGAGATGCTGGAACCAAGAGACTGATTTCAATTAACAATATTTCACAGATCTCAGGATCACATCCTTAAGATGGCTATGGATAACTTCTTCAAATTCTTGTAAAATCTTTCATGTCACACTACAACCTGATTCACTTCCTTCCAACAAACCCATGCATCTGATAAAATTTAAGCACATGAAATTGATTCATAATCAATTGTGAAAGAAGGAACTGTGTGATACAGAATAAGGCAGCAACATTTCCCACAGAAATACCTCTACATATCTAATTGTTGAAAAAGTCTAAGACAAATTGATCTCTCAGTTGTGCAGACACACTCTGTGATATAGTGTACCTTACAAAAATATCATACAAGAATTTAAGTGCTTGCAGAATTAGAGTATAAGAAAAATAATTTCAGGGGAAAAATGCAACTGTAATTCTGTAGTGCATGGTAGAGTGAAATTAATCAATTAATCTGAAATTAATCAATCTGAAACAGAGTTGTTCAATACATAGATCCCTACATTTCCTTCCATTTCTAATACTGGATTGTTAAGAACATGCATACCATGCTCAGTTGATTAACGCAAGAAAAAAGCCTTTAAAATTGGGCTTTTTTGTTTTCTCTCCCATGTTTCACATTCATTTAGACTGACGGTGATATGGTAGTAGCTTCCTCCATCATAACCTCTGCAGCAGCTTGATCTTTCCACCTTCTCACATCACCTCACAATAACTGTGCTGTGTTTTTCCTTATGTTGAACTAGGCATGGTATCTAGATCAAATGCTGCTGTAGTCCGAGCCACGGGCAACAAGAGCTGCTGCTGCTTCCCACTCCACTGTAAAGAAGGTAATTGTTCCAAAGAAGCCAAAAATGACCATGATCAGGAGCTGCCACTGCAGAAGGAAGTAGTTGCTGTAGAAATACGCAACTGCAGCACAGATGGACTGAGAGAAAAAACACAATGTAAAAGGATTAATCAGTGGAGATATCCAGGATAGTATTACTACACAAGGATTATCAAATTGACATACACACAGTTTAATATGCAACTCTAGTAGTATGCTTCTGCAGAAAATATATAATCTTAAAATTTCATTATACTTCAACATATGTCTTAATACGATGTACAACAGATGTAGTTTTTACTTGTTATTTAAATAGTGTTCACTGCAGAAAGTGAACACAAAACTCGGAAGCATTTGCAGCATTGCAAGTGCAGTTTGCTTGCAAACAGTTTGTCTAGAAACACCATTGCCAAGGCTGTAAGACAAAATCCAGAAAACTATCTCCAGTTTTACAGCATCACAAACTATTCTATATCAAAATAGCTAGAGGCTTTGACAAGCAATGTTGCTTACTTGCAATCTATCCTTTTTAAAGGTAAAGGTTCGTATAAAGAATCTTTATATTCCCTGCCTATCTCAAATTCTTACGTATCACGAGTATGATACAAAAATGGAGCTGTGCACAAGGAAAAATAGGTATCTTTTTGAAGCAAGCAGCTGTCCTCTTTTAAACTAGACATACCCTGACCTCTGCTCCCAGCACCAGCTTGCTGTTGGTGCGACCATGCATGAACAGTTTCAATGCTCTGCACCCCTGTTTTTATACCCACACCTCTGATCACAGATCGTGACCTTGGAAGTTCAGTACCAAACAAGATTAATGCCTGTGAGCTAACTGATCTATTCCAAACACAACGGTTGTATTCATAGTGTATGAAGACTTTTCATCAAGTCTCCAGCTAGCATAGATGCATTTATTTTGGTATTCTGATAACTTAGGGACAGACAAACATTACTTAATTCTTTTGTCTGCATACCCACGTGATAACTCACAGTGATATGCTACAGCATCCACAAACTCTTCAACTACTATTTACAGAACTTGTTTTCTTTTAACTCACACCCCTCTGTCAAAGACTTCGAGTAAGTAAATTCAGTAAATTATTATTTAAATAAAATCCAAGTCTGGCTAACCACACTAGCCTTTTGACTTTAAACTACAATTCCAAACACTAACTTCCCTCAAAACCTGTAAGTAATAGCAGTTTGATTATATAATCGCACCAAGCTACCCAATCAAGCTACTCCTACCTAAAAACTTTAGCTCCTGTGAAAGATAATAAACCCAGCCTGAAATTCTTTGCAGAAACAACATGTTTTTCTCAGCTCATTGAAAATTCCAGTCCAGTATGTCAATAACATTCCAACAGTCATACTTCCAAAAGGCTGAGGCATGTAATACCTGAACAAATTTAAAGATGGCAAAGGCAGGAGCACTGTCTTCTGAATACAGAAATCCTAAAATACTGAGGAGCTGGGTGTTAAAGCAGCTGTCCCCCAGGCCCAACAGAAAGCTGCAGAATATGGCCACCTCTTTGCTGAAGGAGAAAGTAAATCAAATTTGAAAGACATTAATTCAAAAAGCTTATATATCTTCAAACTATTTTTGGCAGGCTTATTTGAAAACTGAGCGGAAGAAAGTTATCAAACTTTAAATTTCACTGAAAAAGAACTGGGAACATCTGGCTTGGCAAAAAAAATTAATGAGATTTTAATTTCTTGAATTATAAGACTTTTGTTATTGTTACCTGCAGTCAAACCTACACTGAATTAGAACTGCTAGAACAACTTATTTTGGTGCCTGAAGCCACAAAACCCACAAGGCAGTGATTAAAAACTGAGACACATAGTGAGTTTATAAAAACTGCAGGAATATTAGAAAAGTGCCAATCCATGTTGCAGAAAAATACTCCAGTTAAATAAAGACTAGTCACCAGCACAGGCATGAATGCTTGTAATCACAAGTCAGCAGCTGTCCCTGCACAGACAACACTGTATTTTCACAAAGTGGCAAAAATACAGCCCAAAATAATGATGAGGTAAGAAAGCTCCCTGTATTCTTCCCCTAATGCTGAGCAGTATAACAGACAGGCACAGCACGGCTCCAGTCAGACCAAGTGGACTTTGACAACAAGCACACAAAGGCTTTGGAAACCAGCACAACAGTGCAAGGCTGGTACTCTCTGCTGTAGTAAAACTAAGCCCAGCACTGTTCAAAAATAAACCAAATTCCTGACATCTAGTACAATGGTTGCTGGTCTCACTCCTGTACTAAATCTCAGGAATGTCAGTTCTCAATGTCAAAATTGCTGCCAAATACCCTCATGCTTTTTATTCTTATGCCATTTAAATTCCTAAATTGGGTGCATGCTAGTAGAATATCTACCTTTAACAAAAACAGAATTCCTAAAAGCCTTTTCTGTGGAGGTAGTCACTACAAAGAAAAGCAGCTTCAAGGAATTTTGTTACAGTGACAAAATATGTATCTTGAGTTATGCCAACCAAAGGGAAAAATTCACATACCTTGGAATCATATAAGCAACATCATCTGTTCCTTCCATTGGAGCAATAGGGGCATCATTTGGCATGTTGAAAAATATTAAATAAAAGGCTATAAAATGGACAATAATGCCTAGCATCACAACAGGATTCCTGCCAAAACGATTATTCTTGCTCAGTAAACCAAAGAGTCCTCCACCTGTACGAGTGGAAGAGATTGGATAATTAAATCAGAACTGAAGATGTAAAGAACAGAACCAAACTTAAAATACTAGGGGGAAAAAAAAAAGCTAAAAACTTAAGATGATAAACTTTCCCATATTGGATAACAAAGATTGACAGACATGAAAACAGCCCCAAGAGTTTGCTAGGTCTGCCATCCCAACTGGCAGATGACATAACTTTTGGGTTGCTAGAGATACCTAGGAAATGCAGAAAGGAGATTTATCAGTGATTGCCAATGGAGACACAACCTTTTTGCAAGAATTTTCCCAGCAGCCGCTGCTTCCTCCACTATTGCAACATACTAAGTGAAAATGCTTAGCTCTTAATTGCAAAAACACACATCTGTATGGATCCAAGTTGCTAGTGAACGGTGGAGGTTTTGTTGTGGGTTTTTCTTTTAACACTGCGGTACTTGAGTTTAAGAAAAAATGTACTTAATGAACTTAATTGCCTGAATTTAATTTTATTCTAATATCAGATCTCATTTAACACAAGCTAACATTAAGAAAAAAATGTTGTGTAATACTTAAATAAATTTAAAATAGTTACAACACCACTTAAGAAATAAAAATGTAAACAGAATGCTATTTAAAAACAGACTATCAAAATGCTAAAAATTCCCCAATAACATTGTAGCCTAGTGTTCCTCTCCTTCTAAGCCTTATGTATTTCTTTTCACTAACCCAAGAAGAATGCCAAATTTTAGTCATCAGTAATTCACATCCTAGTCCACATTCACAGTACATGGTGTAATGTACAATTCGTGGTGCAATAAGGAATGACATTGACAATTTTATTTCTAATATTTCATTTTTTGTTTGCATAATCATTGCTGGAAGTTTGAAAGACTATTCAGTTGAAGACAAAAAAGCATCTGTAGTAAGTACATCTTAATCCTTCTTTGTCTATACGGTAGTAAATTTACTCACCTAAAATTTCTCCAACACCAATAAAAATACCAGAGAGACCAATAAGACTTTTCTCTTCACCGCCAAACCTATTCACAGCACCAATACATGTTCCATATACTCCAGAAAAGAATGTTAATACCAAACCTTTGAAAGAAACCAAACAAAATTGATAGATGAACTATTATGAAAGTTATTTAAAAATTCTTTGTCTAAAGGCTGTTTTTCCCTAAAGTACCTTTCAAATACATATATTTAAATGAGGTATGTGTAATAGAACCCATTAGGGAATTTTAAACTCTGTAATTATGATATTCTCCTATGTCAGTTTACAACAACTGTATTAGAAAAAAAAGTCACATACACTTAGGTTCAGAACTGCTTCTGTTGACTACAGAATTTCTATAGTTTATATTTCTGCTTTTCAAGAACTTTGGAATTTCACACATAAGGGTTTTTTCCCCCCCAAGTTGTGACATTCCTAAGAAAGACTACCTGCACCTCCAAATACCAAAAGAGGTAAGATTCCTAAAATGGATTGCTACTTTTCTATACATAATGAACAAAAACTGGGGAAGAACAACTGCTATGTGTTTAAAGGGCTTTGTTTCTACTGCCATTACTGTGAGGAAAGGTAACATAGCCAAGTAACTAGCATGACCATAAGCAACCACCAGTCTAAAAATACCAGTTCCTTAATAGAAAGTATATTTAAAATCATGCAAAGTGTTATGCCTAAACAAAGAAAAATAGTTCAAAAATAGAACTGTTTTAATTTATGTCCTTTGCCTTTTGCTACTGCAAAAATATTGTACACCACATCCTGGTCTACATGTAGCAGGTTACCCAGTATGGTATATGAACTGCATAGCCTCAAAAAAGGGTGAACTTTGAGCAGTTTTAATAACCCAACTGCCAATTTTAGAAATAAAAGCTTTTGCTGGCCTTATGGAATTTTCTATTTCCCTACAAAAAGTAACAATATTTACCAAGAGCCACCAGATGGCAGCAACTATTTTTTCAAGCTGGATTATTTTCCTGCTACCCATAAAACCAAATTTCAGATTAATCAGGCAAAACCTACTGACTCCCTTCCCTTGTTATCTTGCTTCACAGTCCCAACACAATAAAAGTCTTAAGAGGAATTCTCATTACTTAATTTGGGTTAAGACACACAGGAGATGCTGTGAAGTAACTTGTAACTCAGGTTAGTAGCTCATGCAAGTTGACTTCATGGCTACTATTGCTATTTCTCTACCAGAAGCTGACTGCAAACTTTAGCAGATGTTATGGCACTGTTTATAGTCTGTTCACATCTAAGTCTTTCTTTTCATCTCAAGAGCTAACAACAATTTTTCATAATGGTGACTCAGAGCTGAGATTCTGAAAATGCATCTATTCTTCCTAAGTCTTATCATGAACAGAACTACATCTGAAGCCACATAAGAAGCAAGAAAAACCCCCAAATACATTCAAGGATCCCACTAAAATTTTGAACATTTCATATTTTTTTTTTGTGGAAGAATCACTTTAGTATATGTCAAAAATAAATATATTTTTATTTTACAACTCATACCTTGGTCTAACAATGGCAGACCAGGTTTAACTAAAGTTGCTAAAAAGAAAGAGAGCTTTTACCACAGCAGATACTAGTGACAAGAAATAGCTGAAAATGGCAAAACTTTTTCCCAATAGAACCAAGACTAAAATGAAGATTTAGTAATCTCCCACATTTCAATAGAGTGAACACTGAAAGCATATTCTACAAAAATAATTTTAAATCAAATGCAATGCAATTGCATTAAACAAACTGCAACCTATTGATAGTGTAATGCCAAATCACATAAAAGTCAGGATGTAAATTCTGCCTGACCCTCAATTTGGATGACACAGAACTGTACTAAACCAAGCATTACTACATCTGTCGGTATTTGCAGATTTAGGCACAGCCCTCCTCCCACACAGAAACACTTTCCAGAACACAGAAATGTCATAAGTAACTCATTCAAAGTTAACTGAAATATTCAAGTTATATTTGCAGAGATATGAAATTGCAATCCTGCTCTGGGGTTAAAATGCCAGACAATGCCCTGACACTGCTACACGATTACACCCTCCACTTGCTTCATACCTGTGTAGGCGGTTGTAACACTGAGAAGGAGAATCTCTTTGGTGAAGCTCAGCTTTATAGATTTCTCTGTAAAGACATAATAATAGAAATTAATAACACTATCCTTTTGCTCTTTGCAAAACCAGGTTAAATTTATGCAAACTGTGACTATTAGAGTAAACAAAGTCCTAAACAAACCAAGCCTGACTTTGAAAGAAATGCTGTTATCTGAAATCCTTTTTTCTAAGAAATGCAAGGGGGGAAATATTAAAGAGGAGATACACAATTTTCTGTTAGCAGACAATTTACTGCTCATTGTATTTTTGTACTCTCAGTTCATGGCGATTGTCTCCTAAAAGGATAAGTTAAGTTCTCAGTAAAGATCTCAACTCTCAAAACAAACTTAACAGTCACAGGCAGACCACATCAAACTTCAACAGAAACTGCAGATGCTCCAGTTCAAAATCGTTGTTTTTAACCAGTATCATCTGATGACAAAATAAACCAACATGTAACTTCTTTATCTTGTTATGTCAGTGAATTTTATTTTTGTTTTTAAAGAAAAAAAAAAAACAGACAACTTTCATGCACTAGCTTTCACAGGTGGTGACCTGCTCTTTTGGAGCTCACCTAGATAAGGAAGCTGTTGTAAAGTAACTTGGATCTAAAACTACATCAAGGACATATCCCTCCAAATTTCTCCTGGACTATACTAGTATGTAATAGAAGCGAAGTCTACTTCACTTTCTTTGCTTGCAGTCAAGCTCTGTTTGTATGGTATTGTCACCTGACAGGAACACTTCTGTCACATAGCCAGACAGCTCACACCAATTCCACACCAACAGTAATTTGCCCACAATTTAGTTCAGTGGTTCCCAATCTTTTCCAGTTGCAAGCCCCATTTTGGCTAGGCTCAAAATCACAGATGCTCACATAGACAACTGAATTCCTAACAGGCTCAAAACTCATCAGTCCTGTGTCCCTGTGTGAACTGTCATCCCTGGTCTGAAAAACCATTGCCAGCTGGCAGTCATTTTTCCAAGCAGGACATCCCTGAAGGTCTATATTCAAAGTGAAATAACTGAAATGCATTCTCAAAACCTTAGCTGTTCAAAAATGTTTGTTCTAATTGATTTGTACACGATCACATTATCAGCAGAATCATGGAGAGCTGGAAAGGATATGTCAGTATTTTTTGAAGCAACATGAAACAGTACTTACTGAAGGCAGCCACTGCTCTCGTCATTTTGTTTTGTGCAGACCTGGGTAAATAAATGACTTAGTCAAAATGGAAAAAGAATAACCACACTGCTGGAAGGCAGCCAAATTTTTCAGATTTTCTGTACATCTTCTAGCCCAGCACTATATACTGGAATATGCAAATACATTATTAAAAGTTTCTGAGAATCTAAACTACTAGCCAGAAAACTTTCTTTCTGTGCTAGTGAATACCATTCAAAATTTAACCTGCTTATATCCTTCTTCTGAGCATTTTCAGGTTTGAACATTTTTTTCACTGGCATACTTACTGATGTTTTTCTAACATTTTCATTGTTCTTTAAATAAAGCAAAAATATTTAAACTGATGCCTCAGGCAAAACAGTACTGAATCAATCTGTGTACCTACACATTTCTAATGTATTTATCGGTGGCATATATACGTAGAAAAGAGAAGAAAAACATGTTTCAGTATGTAAAATATAACCTATAAAAAGTGAGTCATTTCTGCTTATTCCAGCCTTTAAACTGGGCTGATGAGGGCAAGACAGACTATGAAAGGCAGATACACATTTAATAATAATCAGGGGGAAAAAAAGAGGTAAAAGGTATCTTTCTAAAGGCACTTATTAATGGAAAAACTTTATGTGCAGTACTGCACTGAACTCTTGAAAATATGTCATATAAAGAACATTAATTCTCACTTGTTAAAGTACAGACACTTTTCTATTAAATCTGTAAATTCTACAGGTTGTTCATAACATTTGTGTTTCCAGTGTAGAGGGAAAAGCGAATGCGTGATCTTCCAATGAAGAATAGGAGCACAAACAAGTATGTGACAACATGTTATTGCCATAAGCACTTACGAGCTGTCCCCCAGGATTTCATTAGCAGAATCTTCCTCCCCTGGAGTTTTTGTGTCCTCTTGTTTCCTAATCAGAAAGAACAGAACTGTGCCCACAAGACTGATAACAGTCAGAGCAATGAAGACAGTTCTGCGATCACTCTCTGTGGAAAAACAAAGAAAAGTCATAACTAGATGTGCAAAAGCAATTTCAAACCAATTCAACTACCTTCAAAGAACTAATATATACTACGTAACATCATTTAAAATGCATACCAATTTTCTAACTTACCTTTCACATGGAGCAAAAGGTACCCAGCTGCTGGCAAATTCCTGTCTGTTTTATGGTGCTAATAAAGTACCGGCATATTAAACTGTCACATTTTCTGCCATGCAAAGGCTATGACCAAGGAGGAGCCAATTAACAAAGGAAGTGCATAAATTATTAGCAGAAGAAAGTACATCTTTCAAGACTTATTCAAAGCAGACATAGTAAAGTAGCCCCAAACCCTTCAGATTTCTAAAAAAAACACCCCACCAACAACCCTCTTAACCAGCATCAAAAATATTAGCACTGTAATGTCATAAACTGGTAGGCTTGTAAACTATAAAAGGCCTTAAAACCACTGAAATCTAACTGACAGAGCACACAATGTGCAGCTGGAGGAAGGTCATCACTGCCCTAAGCACCAGCTCTGCTGCACTAACCAACTTGTTTGGCACAGGGAAGTCTGTAATACAGAAGTTGTTCCCATTCACAAATATGAAGCAGAAAAAAAGCCAAGAAACAGTTAATAGTTGTGATTGCACTAATATACGATTCTGAAAATATTGCCTACGTTTGTATTTACTTCCCCTTTAGCTTAAAGGTAAGCATCAAATTGTTCTACATCAAATATAAATAACATGTATAACTACAGATCTAAAAGAAAGTATGTGCTTCACCTTGAACCGTAAAATTTTCGTTTAGGTAGTAAAAAGAAAGAGGAATTGATTTTTAAACATTGTCAGATCTTCTGATACCAACATTTTTTAATAAAAAGGAATCTCAAGACATTTAGACAGGGGGAAATGTAACAGAAGAACTCTCTCATAGTTAATTGCTCTATTCTGTGGTTAGAAAGAGCAATGAAATTCACAATGCACAGAATTTCAGGCCCACGAGATCCAAAGCATCTCCAATGCTTTCAATAACATTTCAGCCTTTGTGTTAGAGATGAGGGAATGTGGGAGCTGACCTTTAAAAATTAACCTGTGCTGCACTACCACGCCCGTGTCTGTGGGGAACCTGAAAAGACAGACCTAACAGAGACATGAAGCGGACTATTCATCTCAACACAGCAGTATTTCTGAAGCCTGATAATTATCATTTTAAAATCAACATCTTATTCCTGATTGACTACAGCAGAAGTATCCTCATCTTTTAAATGTTAAAAGAAGTGACCATTCTAGTAGATATTTTAACACTACAATAAAGTCTCACAGTCATTATAGGACAGGGCAATTAACCCTATTTACAAAATGTTGGTTTTCCAGCGATATTCAGGTTTTATAATTAAAATCTTATTTTGCTCCGTTTTCACCATTGCTCTTTTCGTAGCTGATACTGCCCCTCATCTTGCCTTGCTCAAGTAGAAATCTCTGATTTAAAACCAGTATCAACCACTATCCAGTTTCTTCAGAGTATTAAATTTACTTTTCTCTCTCCTGCTTTTTACCAATCTAGCACAACGTCATACAAACCAACCCATAGTATTAATTACCATCCCATTAGGAAGTCAGTCTTCATAAACTATGCCAAGAAAGGAAGACCAAGTTCTTTACACACTCAACTGTGCCAGCACAATAAAGTGAACTGGGATGGTTTTCCTTTCTTTTCTTTTAGTTCATAAGTTAATCAGTCTCCAATCTGTTTTAGAAGGACTGTCTACACTAGGAACTTAATTTGGAACAGGACAGCATGTATATTAAACATACAGCCATTCCAGAATACCTTTCCCCACAGAAAAAATCCGTATTTTGGTGTGTGTCTGCACAGGGAAAATCCCAGAGTAGCTGTTATGGAAAAATAAATTCTGAAGAATGTCATAGACAATATCCTAAAAGAAGGCACTGAAAGTGCATTGCATGCAGGAAAACAATATACATAATACAGGGGCCATAAGTACCATGGAACACTGAATCAAAATGTGCTCCAAAAATAGAGTCTATCTAACAATAAATTGGAAAAAAAATTGTCTGCTGTTGTATAAGCTTATTGCAAATTTTCAGTTCATTATTTCATCTTTTTATTCATGCCACCATATTTTAAAGAATAGTCTCCCATACAAACAAGCAATACCCACCTGATATGTGAGTTTTTCCTTGCCAAGCAAAGTATATATATAGGTTTCCAAAAAACAAGCTGTAAACAAAAAGGACAACAAAGGTGAACAACACTTTTTTACAGCAAGATTAGGGTTGTAGCATTACAGCAATGCTACTCTCTGCAAAAAATAGCACTGCGCAAATCTGAAAGAAATAAAGACACTAGTCACTCTCCATGCCAACTGCTTACTCTTTATAAAACTTCAAACACAGTAGAGGATTCTTCCCCATAATGTTTGTTATTTATTTTCAGTAATCAAGGAACAAGGTGGTAGCAAAAATGAGGACAACTGCATCTAAATTGCCTGTCTCTAATTTTGTAAGGGTATAGGTTAGAAAGCCAACAGAATTGTGTCATATTATGGAGATGATTTTGTAATGCTTCTTGAAAAGAGTCACGTGTCTCGTCTGAAACACTGTCCCAGCAATGCTAAATTGGTTGTTAACAGGTCAAGGGAAATTCTCTGTTCCTACCTCCAGTTTCCTGAATATAGTAATTCTGAAAGAAAAACAATTCAAAACAGCCTTACAAGTTTGCTCACATAAAGCCATGCATTTTACTTGCTGTAGAACACACGATTAGTTGGGTTTGTGGAAATTGCTACTCTGATAACATACCGATATGTTAATTCTGGAACCTGAAACTTCAGGAACACAAGTAGTATCCCACTGGTTCGCAACGATGTCTACCAATCCAGTGTTCTGTCCCCACAACAACATCAGCAATACCATTTAGTGCAGGCTCACCAGCCCAAGCACTTTCTGCAATTCATTCCCCTCATTATCTCCCAATATCCAGAATTCATAGAACAGTTTGGGTTGGAAGGGACCTTAAAGATCATCTAGTTCCAATCCCCCTGTGATGGGCAATGACACCTTCCACTAGATCAGGTGTATTAATTTAAAATAATAGAATTAATTTAGAATTGCTATATTACGGGTGGTAAAAAGCATCTCTCTTCAGGAACCATTGGTGGACCTCTTACCAATGAATTTGATTTCTTTTTGATCTTGCAGCCACCATCCAACTCTGCACACTTCTGTGGCAGGAAGCTCCACAAGTTTAATTGCCCACTGTGTAAAGAAACACTTTATCCATTTCAAACTAATTCTCTTTCAGTTTCACCAAGTGACCCGAGTTCTAGTAGAGCAGCATTTGGTGAGCAACAGTTCTACATTCAGCTCACCTGCTGCCTTTGTGTTTTAGTAACCCATCAGTATAATCCTCCTCAGATGCTTTTTCTCCAAAGGAAAGAGTCCCAGCCTTTTTAGTCTCTCTTCAAGTCAGCAGCTCTATCTTCTTGCACAGCGTTGTTATTTTTCCCTATACTTTATTACATTACACTCTCTCAAGAGGCATAAGCCCTATCTTCACAAAATACTCAATGGCAGCAACTCAGCATCCACTGCCTCGTTGTCACTACCATTCTTCATGCTGAGCTTTTTGTCAACTTTTTTGGTTGAAGCAGCACTCAAAGCTTAGTATCAGAGAACTATCAACAAAAAGATCTCTCTTCTGATTGTCAAGTCCAACTTTAGTATCTTCAACTTGTCAGTGAGCAGCAAGATCCAGCTGCCCCCTCAGGGAAGGAAGGCTAAGAGGGGATGACACAGCCAGCAGAGAAGGTGCCTCACCAGCTAGAGCTCAGCCCCACAGTACTGGAGCAAGGCGAGCAGGGCAGACCCAAAGATTGTAGACAGGGTCAACCAAGAGTCCAGACCATCACACAAATTTATGAGGCATGTCTGAGATTAAGCTGGGAAGTCAGTCCACAGGCCAGAGTCAGGTCTGGTGATTGCCACACAGGTCTGCAGTGACAGGGCAGGATAAAGCCAAGATGAGGAATCAGTCTGCAGACTGGGGTTTAGACCACCAGGATCCATAGCAGGGCACAGGCATAGCATGGGCTAAGCTGGAGACAAGTGTTCCTCTGGTACAGCTCCAGACAAATAGAAAGCCAAGGGCTGAGTTTAAATAGGGCTCCTGGGCCCATGGGCAGAGAGAAGCGGTGTGGGCAAGGTCCCAAGTCATTCAGGATCATTAAGGCTTATTAGTACACTCAGGATCCTGACACAAATTAGCACAGCTCTCCACAATCAACAAGATTTCTCTTACGTAAGTCAAATGATCCCCTAACAGAAATGTGTCTTTCTGGCATGTGGAGAGCAGAGGCCTGCAATATGTAACTTTCATTCATTGTTCTATAATGCACAATAGCAATAGAAATGTTGCTTCCAACCCTCCCTTCCACTTCACTAACTGCAAGGTAACACTGGAGTACTTTTTGATGCAGTCTCTCCCACTTAACAAAAGGTGTAAAATGTAGAATGTGTACACAACCAAAAAAAGATTAACAAATAAAGCTTACCTGGACTGTAAGAGCGCCCAAAATACTCCACTGTTCCTTCCAATGGTGTTTTCATCAGAATTTACAGTCAAGCAATTTCCCTGTGCTGTCCAGAGTACTGAAATATACAAAATATATTGCTCAGGAAATAAAATATTTTAGAGGTATATTCAAATATAGCAAATAGTAAACAGAATAAGAACAATGCTTACCAGCAGCTGCAATGCCAATAAAAACAGAAGCAGTATAAAAAGCCCACGTAGCAGGTTGGATAAAAACTGCAATGTACAGACTAGAATAGAACAAATCAGTTTATTGAATACAGTGGACAATGCTCTTTAACAATCATGCATCTCACTTAGCTTCTTCTAAATCAGCTACTCTCTCCTAAGTGACGATGGAAAATATCTTAGGTTGTACATGAAAAAAAGTAATCTTTTTACTCCTCTAAGCATGTAGATTTTTTTTTTTATATAGTCATTAATCTGAAACCTGAACCTGAACTCCACAGTCAGTAAAGTCTGGAAATTCTGTGGAAAAAATACACTCTGATTCCAGTAGCCTGGAGTACCCTGCAGTTACACATCTACTAATACAGACGGTATCTCTGCAAGATGCCTTCGTCAGTCAGTACAATTTCATGTATGGCACGGTAGTCTTAGGTGTGAAAAAATGAAGGAGATTTCAAAGGAAGCAGACAAAAATACAAAATTAATACTTACCTATAAAATATGCCACTAACAACCATGGAGAGTTGAGGTCCTACTATTGCAACTACTGAAGGTGATACAAGATTCGATGCAGAGAATACTCCATAAATAATGGACATGCTACATAAACAAACAACAAAGATGATTAAGTACTTCAGATAAAATACAGGGTTTAAGTGCAACTGATTTAAGAATGTTCAGGCAATTAAAAAATATCAAATTAAGTACATTCATAACTTAAGTAACTGCATAACTTTCATGGCCAAACATTTCCTTTCTTCCTTTTGTTACCTTCACCTGTTGCACTCCACAGGGGAATATAGGGGTGCACAGTGTTTCTTGGATTGCTGAGTAAAGTCCCAAACTACTACAGGCAAGCACATCTTGTAATTTACAACACGCATTGGTCTAACTCTGCCTTAACAACAGTTACTGTAGTTTGTGTCCAGTACTTCTAGAGGAGAATGTTTTAGAACCTCATTCATCTATCAGTGAGGTTTTCATTTTCAGCCAAATACAACACAGAAGATTTATAGATATATATTTTTTGCTAGTTCCATTTTTAGTTTAAATTAAGACAGTAAATCCCCCAAAGCAACAACCAGGTTTCCTATATGACAGGTTAATTTGACGTACAAAAGGTCCCTGCTCATGCTTGGCGAGTTTGGCTATGTCAGTGCAATAAACAGAACAGGTTTTTGTGGCTTTGCTTCTCATCTTTCTGACTGCTCCTTTCATATTTATGTCGCAATATTTCCTGGAAGTTGATCCACACCACCTGTCCTACACAAACACACAGAGGTATACAAGGGCAAACAACCAAGGCCTTAGTTAGCAGTTTTATTTATTTTAAAACTTTCACATTCTTCTAATATAAATGCTAAGAATGTGATGACCGTAAGGTATTTTTTCTCCCTACAAAGAAAACATATCAGATATGTAGCTCTACTAGAAATAATTCAGAGTAGAACTAGAGTGAATGTGAGAAGCCTCTGTTTTAAACTGCTTTAAGTATGCTATTAAACTGTGAAGTCAGCAGAACACTACAATCTCTTGAGAGTATATCTCTACCAGATGGAATTATAACTAGCTCCACCCTGAAAAGAGCAAAGTAATAAGATCTGTGTAAATTACCTTGTGTAGCCACTACCATGAAAATCGGTGCTGTTTAAATTTGTGATAACAGTTTGCTGTGAGGAGAAAATCATATATTGTAATATGTTAGAATATATCTTGTAGTTTGAGAACACTTGCATCAGTTTGAAGTCAATATCAGACACTAGAATTAGTCATTAATACATTCTACAAAGTATTTAAAATAAAGTGTTAATTACAACTCACAACACCTCCACAATGAAGGTGAAGGATGATACCTGGCAGGGAAACATCTACCTTTGAAGCAGTAATTAGCACTTTAGGATTGTATCATTATTTCATCAGAGACCTTAAAATATTTCACAAAACTTTTGTTTCACTAAGCACCTCTCTTAGGTAGATATGTATGACTAACTTAATTCAAAAAATGGGGAAAAAAAAGGAGAGGTTTCAAAATACTCTTAACTTGACCTAACTAGGAGGTGCTGGTAAGAGTTTCCGTTCTTTTCAGCTTCCTGTTATTTCCCTGTTCCTTTTTTTTCCTGTTGAATCAGCTTTAGTGATCATGAGACCATGTAATTAGTTGATTGGTGGGCAGATCTGATTGAAAGTCACTTGTAATTACTTTAATGACAATAAATTACATGACCCCTACACCCAATTCAGTGAGGAGCTGTGGACACATTGCAGAAGTTCTAAGATCACTGGGCTGTACTTATGTACATTATCATGCTGCACTTATTATCCTAAGCAGTATTTCTGTAATGCAGCTAAGGACATTTACATGTCTGAACCCAGAAAGCATTCTTCTTGCATGCAAGAAAAGAGAAGCTGTAAGACTTGTAGGCTCCAGAGGTATGTTGAAATCTAACTGTCCTTCAGGCATATAACGAATACTGAAAGCAATGTTAACAACTCAGTAAATTAGAGGATCTGGGCTAAGTATGTCAGTAGCAGGACTGTAAAAATTTTAAGTTAAAAATTAAAGAGTGCAATCTGCTTTTAACAGTAAATTTGGATTACGTTGCACAAAGAGTGCAATCTGCTTTTAACAGTAAATTTGGATTACGTTGCACTCAATTTTGTTTCAGCACACAGAGATACGTGTTACTAAAGCAGTTAATTACTTAGTCAGATGAAAGGTGACTTGGCAGTTCTAGCAATTGTGGAAGTCTGACTACTTGTCAGATGTTATCCTCATACTCCCCCTCAATGTCTAGTTTGTTAGAACAGAAAAACGTGTTAGATTAGGAAAACCACTCTAGGAAAAACTACGGGCATGGTTAATAATAACAACTTAGGCAAATATTTTGGAAGAGACTATATAGAATAATTAGAAATATGGGAGGTCCAATATAATTCAATTGTTAAATATTACAAGTGTCAAAACAGACACTATTTTAAAGTTCAAAAATTTTATAACATTAATTTTCTACTTTCTAAGCAATCTGGAACAGTTACATACCTAGGTATGCTATCTTAAAGTAATGTAATAAACTGCTTAATTATCCAGTTAACCAACTTAATCTAGTTAACACTAAAACAAAAGAGGCAAAATGTCAAGGTGTCTGGCATATTTAAAAATACGAAGTAAAGCAACTCTATTATATTAGAATACACAAAAGACAAGAAAGGATGAATTAGTGTGACAGATATGTGGCATGTTTTGAAATTCACACCTACCGCAATATTTCCACATGTTTGGAAAGCAGTGAATATAAACATAAATGAGACTCCCAAAATAATTATGTTGAAAAGTTTTTTTGATTCAGGAGACATTTTGTGTTTTCTTGCCAAGTCCTCAGTCTGGAAAAACTCTTATTTTCTTTTAAAAGTTTCCTCTTAACCTCTGTTAAAACAAGCAAAAAGAATAAAATAAAATAAAATTAAAAAAAAAGAGAAAGCTTCAAAAATTATGATTACTAGCTGCTAGGGCATAACCATCAACTAATCAGGAAATCTGGTAACTCTCTTAAATAATGTACAGCAAAATCAGTGACTTGAAAAAACAAACAAACAAAGGTCTAGTACAAAAGCTAAAGATGAAGATTCTCTCTACCTTCTCCCATGAAGTTAACAGAGCAGACTGCAGTATGCTACTTCTTCATGACATCACTTTCCCCCAAATGAAGCAGTTTTCCACCTATCGAGCTAGTTAATCAGCTCAGTCTCTTGCCATTGTTCTAAATCAGAATTCTGGTCCACAGCCCTTAAATCACCTGACGAAGGAAAGATGAGACATTCGTACACAGGAGTCATTTCCATGCATGTTGGACAGGAAATAAGGAACATTTCACAATCTAGATCAGCTGATCCAGCCTAGAAAGCCCTTATGCACTATGGGAAATGCAGTTTTATTAAAGTACACTTTTTCTACTTGAAAGGGTGGAATTTTAATTCTTAAAATAAAAAGATGTATACTAGTTCTTAATAATTATTATCTCTTTGCACTAAAGAATACCTAGCAAGATAAAAAAAGAGAAGTCTTAGAAAGTCATCTAATAAAACTGCCTAATTAGCTGATTTCAAACACACAAATAGTCATTCTAAAGGAAAAATTATTTCCCCTTCAGAGAAACTACACAGCTCAATACCACCAACACACATGCTCTGTGTTCAGTGACTCAGGACAGTCTTCATAATCTTTCACTCCTTTGTCTCCAGGAACAACATTCAGTTTTAGTCATTACATATTCTTAATATTTTACTTCACAGTATTTCTGAATAATAAATTTAAGATCAACTGATCTTTGATCTTTAGGTTTTGAAGAGCTCTTTTAAAACATCAGCAAAATTGAAAGAGGATCCTGCCTCATGTATTCTAAATGGCTGCTTTTTACTTTTACTATCTTCTGACCAAGTCAGGATTGGAGCATTCAGCTAAATCAACTCCACTTAACTACTGGCCAAAGAGAAAGAGATGATCCAGAACTGACTGCAGTAAATGACAAATCACCAAATCTTACCTCTGTGATCTACAGTAAAGGAATTAAAATCTGCATCCCAGCTATTGTTACACATTTAATACTTTTAATTCCTGAGTTGTATTTTCTAAAAAATGTATTTTTTTCAAAACAGTATTTATTTTTTACTTGTGGAAGAAAGTCAGTATGATTATTCAGAGGCTGCTTTACAAAGACCCAGTTAGAAAGTCAAGGTGTTTTAACACATGCAAAGCTTGCTTCTTCCTTTTTTTATGTTATGAATTTAATGTAACAGATTTTTAAGATCCTCTAGGCACCGTGTCCCACTCATGCCTTCTTCCACCTGTGCCAGCACAAGCATTCATGTAGCTGCACAGCAAGCCAGGCTGACACGTGTGCTGGACCAGTTAATTCTCTGGGCAACAGCAGCAGCTTGTATAGAAGTGAGTGAAACTAGGGAGGAAGGGACACAGGAAACCCTCTGTCCTTTCAGGGAAATCATTGGATAATCTTCAGATTTCTCCTAAGAGAAAGGGTTTCAGCAGATGAATGGGAAAATTTTTAATCAAAATTCTCAGGGAAAAAAGAGCAAACAATATAACACAAAACAATACCAAATGTGCAGTACTAGTTTATTTCACTTCTTCCAAACTTTTGTAGCAGGAAAAGAACTGTTGCTTCTGTGTTTGTATTGATGTCATTGCTTATCTTTATACTTCAGTGCAAAAAATAAACACAATTACAGTAAGAATAAGGATTTAAATTATAATACAGAATTTACTTTCTCACATCAATATTGTCATTGGGTTAAAACAGTAGAGAACTGCCTCCTTTTTTTTTAACATAGTATTATGAAACAGATGGGTAGAGACACTCATCACTGTTATAAGATAAGAACTAGGTATTACTGTTTACGCTTGGAGCTTGGCCATTTTATTCAGCGCCTGAAGTGACAGAGCAACAACTTGTGGGGTGGAGGGGGGAAGCAGCTTTCACTAGAATTCCCTAGACATAACTCGGGGAATCTGCTTGTCATCCTTACTCAAGGGCTGCGCTGATCTTCTCCCCTGTTCCAATTTTACCGCGCACGCTACCAAAACATGAACTCGCCCAGAGCGCTGCGGGTATAAGGATTTGTAACGTTTCCCAGCTCGGCTCACAGCTCCCTCAGAGGCACCCGTGCAGCCGGCGGAGATCACCCCGCAGCACCGACCGGGCAGAGGCTCTGCCACCGCACCCCAGCGCGCGTCCATCGCGGGGAGCCCGGGGCTGCAGGGACCGAGGCGGCTTCACCAGGCACCGCTACCGGCGGGAGGGCAGGTAGAGCCCGGGATGCGGCGGC